GCTGCGCCTGTCAGTCGAACCCCTGTTTGAGCTGCTCCTGTCAGTTGAACCCCTGTCTCAGCTGCTCCTGTCAGTCGAAACCCTGTCTGAGCTGCTGCTCCTGTCTGTTGAACCCCTGTCTGAGCTGCTCCTGTCAGTCGAACCCCTGTCTGAGCTGCTCCTGTCAGTCGAGCCCCTGTCTCAGCTGCTCCTGTCAGTCGAGCCCCTGTCTCAGCTGCTCCTGTCAGTCGAACCCCTGTCTGAGCTGCTCCTGTCAGTCGAACCCGTCTGAACTGCTCCTGTCAGTTGAACCCCTGTCTGAGCTGCGCCTGTCAGTCGAACCCCTGTCAGTCGAACCCCTGTCTGAGCTGCTCCTGTCAGTCGAGCCCCTGTCTCAGCTGCTCCTGTCAGTCGAACCCCTGTGCATCTGGAGCAGACGCAGTGAGGCCCTCCCAGCCGTGCACTCAGAGGCACACATCAAATTCTCCAAATTTCTCCTTCCCTCAAGAGTCGGTCTTATCTGCTTTGCTCTCTCCTTCCCTGTTGGAGTCCCTATCGCCGCCATTGAGGCCTATTTGGCAGTCAAACATCACAGGACAAACAAGCCCCAGGGGATTTGCATTCTGTTTAGAGAAAATGTTTGCTCTCCCCACAGGCCCCAGGGCAGCACATCCTGCTCTCTGGCTCGGGGGGTTTTCACATGCAGACTCCCCGCTGAATTGCAATGAGAAAGCCAGGCCCTCTCCAGCCCTGCCTGGCTGCTCCCAGCCGGCCCGCGGGTGCCCACGCCAGAGGTGCAGAAAGCACAGAACCTTGTTTAGAAAGCGAACGGGCTAAGACAGCGACTGTCAGTGTCCGTCGTCATCAGGGTAGGCATGGTGAACGGCCCTCTCTTCACAAAGGGATGTATTCCCCATCGCTGGGTCTCGTAAGGAACTGGAAAGATGGTTCTCGAGTGGGCCTTCCCTGTACGTACATGTTTTGTCTGTCTTGCCAGCGGTGTACGAACACAGCGAGAGATTCATTTCGTTTCATCGGAAAGAGTTCTCCTTCGCTGCTCATCAGGCAGGATCTGAGTCTCTATCTGTCCCTGGATGCAAAACCAGGAGCAGCTCAGTTAACCCCCTCAGGGCTGGTTGTGGCATCACATTACTGCTAGAGGAGATGTCAGGGGGCTCGTGTCTCTGGAGCGAGATTTCTTTCCTAAATCAACAGATCACTGCGGTAATGCAGCTGCTGAGATATCCTTTCGGCAGGAAGGATGCAGGCAATGCCGAGAGCTCTGTTTGGGCCCCAGGCGGGATGGGGTGCGTTCCTGAAATCGACGTCCGGCGGCCCCCCAAGCCTGTCCACCCCCTGGGGCGGTCAGCTCCTGAGATCGCCCCCCCCCCGGCCTCTCCTTTGCATGCGAGTCTGTAATAGTTCTGTCTTCATTTGCCTCTGGCGGTCAAAGGCCTTTCCCTTTCGGAGGAGGGATCGAAGGGAGGAGGCAGCGACGCTCGAAACATGCAAACTCAGTCAAATAGGACTGGGCTGGGCTGGGCTGGTGCGCGCTGGAGCGAAGGCAGCAGATCCTCGTGCTCCTTTCCCCGCAGCAGGTCGGTCCAGTGAGTCTCGATCTCGCCTGAGCCCTACAGCCGGACATCGCCGGACATCGCCGACTGACCAGCTCGCTGCACTGAGGTAGGAGCCGACCCTCGGCCGGGATTCCTGTAGGCTCTCGGCTCTGCAGTTTGGGTTGAGGCTGGGAAGCAGGAACGAGGACAGGCGTGGGATAATGGTTTCGGGAGCGGGATGGTGGGGGGGTTTGTGTTTGAGCCGGACAGGGAAGATTCCAGGTTTGTAAGTGTGATAGGTGCCAGAACCCAAAGATCCCAGGAAGCAGTAAAGGACCTTGACTGAATGCCTGAGATGAGCTTGTGGGTTTTACCTGTTACCTGTTATCTGTTGTCTCCTGACTGCTGTGGAGGTGCCAAGAGCTTTGTGCGAAGGTATTCTGTCGTTCGGGGGCAGCTGTAACTCAGGGCAGGCGGGGCTTGAAGCTCTGGAGCTGAAGGGCAGATCTCCCTGGAGGGTCCTGTGCACGTTGTTCCTGTAAGACAGGGCGAAGTGTCCTTAGCAGGACAGCGTGTTCCTCCCTGGGTCTGTGACTGGTTTGGGCCAGCGAGTTTCAGACCTTCCCTGCTCCCGAGGCGGGAATGTGCAGTGGGCCAGCCCTGGGTTCTCACCCCATGCTGCACGACAGCGCCCCCGTGTGGCTGCACAGGCACCTGTCGACCTGGGAGCTGCCCTGTGGGGGGCCGGAGCCGTCTGCTGAAGCAGCTGTGATGATGATGATGGTGGTGTTTCAGCCCACAGGAGAGCCGAGGAAGACCGCGGGCAGGATGGAGTACACGTTCCGCGCCGTCACCCACACGCCTGGGATCATCGTCTGGAGGATCGAGGTACCGCTGAGTCTCCCCCACTCGTGGTGAGCGGGGCTGTCTCTGAGCCTCGTCAGGGCACGACGAGTGTGTCGCCCTAAATCACAGCACCCACTTTTCTAGAATGGACCACACTAAAAAATGGAATACAGACACCTTCCTTCTGTTTTTAATCTTTCATGTCTTTAATATAAGTCTTACATGGCATAACTCATCGTTTCAGCAAGCAGAGGAAAAGTTGCCCAATCCTTGTTCTGGGGCCCTTTAAAACCCAGATCTAAGGCTTTTAAAAACCCTTTCCCTTTCCCCTGTTTTGTGTGCTGTGCGTGCGATGTAAGCCTATGATGCTCTTCCCCGGCCTGAGCGCGGTATTCCTGAGCCCACAGGGGGGCAGCGACAGGCTCCACAGCTCCTTGGCTGTAGCCTAATCCACCGCGTCTCCCTGGACTGTGTGTATTAGTGCCCATTCTCCAGGAGAACCTGTGCTGCCTCTTCCGAGGGCAGGGCAGCTCCACAGTTCATTTTCAGTTTCCTTCAAACACTCCCACTTTGGTTTTATCTTCCAGATGTCTATTTAAGTATCTTGTAGTTTCTCCGAAGCATCAGATCCTGATCATTTACGGTTAGATCTTGAATCAGCTCTCCAATGAGCTGCCCTGTCATCTCTCTGGAGATTCATTGGTCATCTTTTGGCTGAAGTTTTTATCCAAAGAGACGCACATGAGTGTCCGTTTACACAGCTGGGCATTTAACTGGAGCCACCCGAGCGGCACACCCAGCTCAAGGGCACAGCAGCTGTGTCCCACCTGGGATTTGAACCCGGAATCCTCAGCCCTGCTCCGCGCTGCTGCCTGGAGGGCCAGTTCAGCCGATTTTCCTCCAGCCCTGCTCAGCTCGTCTCCCCCCTCTTTGTGTTGCAGAAGATGGAACTGGTGCTGGTGCAGGAGAAGTTCCACGGCAGCTTCTACGAAGGAGATTGTTACATCCTGCTGTCTGTGAGTAAGCAGATTATTACATTCGTTTTTATGGTGTTTAATTAAACTGCCAATTATGCACGTAAACATAAATTAGAACATACAGTACGACTACAACTGAGCGGAGGCCACTTGGCCTGCCTTGCTCTGTCGTATTCCGTAGCGAACTGATCTGAGGATTAACTAAACCCTTGATTAAATAATAAAGGAGCAGTTAGATGAATCAGTCTTATCATTAAGTTCACGCACTTGTTCGAAGTCCAGGGGTACAGCCGATGAGGAGTACTGCTCTGTTGTGTGCTGGACAGGAGAAAAGACGTGAACACTTTTCGAACTGTAATCCGATTTTCCTCTCCACCCGGTGTGTGTGTGTTCGTTGGTCGGAGGTGGAGTTTCAACACCAAGCTTCTAACCTGTCCTGCTCTCCAGCGTGCCGCATGTGTGGGTCCCGGAACCCACCAGCAGAGGGCGCAGAGGGGCTTGAGCCCAGTCTCTTGTCTCCCGACGTGTGTGTTTCTCTCAGACGCAGCGCTGCGGCACCACGGTGTCCTACCACGCCCACTACTGGATCGGGTCCGAATCCACGCAGGACGAGCAGGGGGCCGCCGCCATCTACATCACCCAGCTGGACGAGTTCCTGGGCGGGAGGCCCGTCCAGCACCGGGAGGTCCAGGGCCACGAGTCGGACACCTTCAGGGGCTACTTCAAGCAGGGCGTCATGTGAGTCCCCACTGGGGTGCCCGGAGCCTGGATCCAGCTGCCCAGCTGTGTCAGGGAAGCGCTGAGCTTTAACAGGCCCGGTTCTGAGGAAGAGCAGCCTTGCAGTGTGCTTTACTGTACCCCCTGCCCTGACACTGCAGGCCCAGAGGGTTATAAAGAGGGACAGGCATCCCTGGTGGTGCTCAAGGAGGTGGTGTCCCGAGTGACAGCTGCATCTTCTGTTCCACCTGGAAGGGTTTGAGTTGACCGAGTGCTTGAGTGTCAGATCGCTCCGTCACGTACCTGGTTCTGCAGGGCGGAGTGAGAGAGTGCTGTCCCTCCTTCTGGCTCTGTCCACCCATTTGTCTGTCTGGCTTGCTCTGCAGCTATAAGAAGGGGGGCGTGGCATCAGGGATGAAACACATGGAGACCAACAGCTACGACATCAAGAGGCTGCTGCACGTGAAGGGAAAGAGGAGGGTGACTGCCAAAGAGGTGCATCAGCCTGGCTCTCACACTGACAGCTCACACACACACACACACTGACAGAGCTCACACACACACTGACAGCTCACACACACACTGACAGAGCTCACACACACACTGACAGCTCACACACACACTGAGAGCTCACACACACACTGACAGAGCTCACACACACACTGACAGCTCACACACACACTGACAGAGCTCACACACACACTGACAGAGCTCACACACACTGACAGGGCTGCCAGACACAGACTGACAGAGTTCACACACACACACACTGACAGAGCTCGCACACACACTCACTGAGAGCTCACACACACTGACAGGTCCCACTCACACACACTGACAGGTCCCACTCACACACACTGACAGCTCACACACACACTGACAGCTCACACACACACTGACAGAGTTCTCGCTCTCTCTCTCACACACACACACACACACACCAAGTGTACTGGCTACAGTGGGGTGTTTTACTGTGGGCGTGGCTTGTGAGTGACAGGAGGACCACATGGTGGGTGTGTCCTGCATACAGTGGGACATCCTGTGCAGCAATGATACAGTTGAACTGGCAGCCCAGTATGTGAGCCTGTCTCTCAATAATGCTCCATATGTCTACAATATATGTAAATATTGTATGATGTGTCTTTATTGTAAATGTCTGTAGATTTTTTAATGATGATGGTATTTGTTTTGCTTTGATAACACTGATTGTACTCATCGGTCATGCCAGTAAAGCATCTAGAATTGAAATTACTGGGTCTCTGCAGGTGGAGATGGACTGGAAGAGTTTCAACCTGGGAGATGTCTTCCTCCTGGACAACGGCAAGACCATCATCCAGTGGAATGGTCCTGAGAGCAACCAGCAGGAGAGGCTCAAGGTGCTGGACACTGGACAGTGGACAACACTGATTACTGAGCACTGGACAGTATCTCTGGACACACCATGTGCACACTGACACAGTCTTCACAGTCCACATGCACAGAGAGACAGTGCAGAGAGAGGAAGACCTCATACTGATGTCTTCCACTGACCGTTCTGACTTTGAATCACATACTGTACAGCCATCACCCCAAACTTGTCTTAGCGGTGTTGTTTACCACATGACTGTCCTGTTTTGTTAATTGTGGCCTCTGGCTTACAATGAGACTTGAATCAGAACTAGGGTGGTGGAAGATGCACTCTAAGAAACCCAGGGTTTAGCTGCTGGAGGGCTCGTTGTTCTCACTGGACTTACAATCCTGATGTGGAATATAACGTTCAATGCTACTGAGCAAACAATAGGGCACTTTGTTTTAAAACCTCTAGAGCTTATTGTCCCCTTGCATGCAGTTTCCTGGAACTGGTGAAACCTGGACTGGATCAGACTGCTGTGTAATCAGACCTGCGGGGTGTGTCCTCTTGCTTGTCTCCTGTAGGGAATGTTGTTGGCCAGGGATATTCGGGATCGGGAGCGGGGGGGCCGTGCGGAGATCGGGGTGATTGAGGGCGATGCAGAGCAGGACTCGCCGGAGCTGCTGGAGATCCTGACTGGGATTCTGGGCCAGCGGACGCTGGAGCTGGGCAGAGGGGAGCCGGACGAACAGGCCGACCAGCAGCAGAAAGCCAACGTCACCCTGTACCAGTGAGTTCAGGCTGAGGGCCTGCGTGTGTCAGCTGTCTCCTGTGTGTCTGTGTGTCAGTCTGTCTCCATGTCAGCCTCTGTCTCTATGTATTTCCATGTCAACCTGTGTCTCTTTGTGTCAGTCTGACTCCATGTCAACCTGTGTTTCCATGTCAACCTGTGTCTCTTTGTGTCAGTCTCCACATTAGCCTGTCTCTGTGTGTCAGTCTGTCTCCATGTCAGCCTCTGTCTCTATGTGTTTCCATGTCAGCCTGTGTGTCTGGGTGTCTGTGTCTCTGTCTCTGTTTGTCTGTCTGTCTCCACGTCAGTCTGTTAGAAAGTTACTGTAACAGTGACTGTCAGTGACCAACACATCAGCCTGTGTCTCTGTGTGTCAACCTGTGTCTCTATGTGTCAGTCTGTGTCTGTGCCTTTGTGTGTCAGTCTGTGTCTGTCTGTCTCCAAGTCTGTCTCCACGTCAGCCTGTGTCTCTGTCTCTGTGTGTCTATCTAT